TGCTGTCTCTGCAGTGGATTTGTCCCACACTGCTGTCTCTGCAGTGGATGTCTCCCACACTGCTGTCTCTGCAGTGGATTTGTCCCACACTGCTGTCTCTGCAGTGGATATCACCCCAAGCAATTGAGGGCACCACTCTCCTGGAATTGTATCTTGGTAAATATTATGAGAGCATTAAAACATAAAAAGGTTACAGACAAGAGTTTGCCTTTTTGTGCTTCTACCTCATTGTTTTTACTAGTGCCTAACTGATCCAAGGATCTCCTCCTGCCATTTCTTAAAGAAGCCAGGGTAACAGCTTCAGCAATATGCCTGGGCAGCAAGTCCCAGACTCCCACTGCCCTCGGCGTAAAGAAGTGCCTGCTGTTCTCAATTTTAAAAGCATTTTCCTGTAGTTCTGTAGTTTCCACTTTTGTCCTTGTTTCCAAAATAGTACATGGGGCTGACTTTTGCTGTTTCAATTCAACAGACATTATCCCTGTCTTGAGTGCCCGTTAAAAGAGTTGTATATGAATAACATAGCTTGTTTCCTTTAGAACAACTGGCAGAATACCATCAGGCTCTAGAGATTTTATCACAAATAGTAATTTCAATGGTAATTTCAGATACAAGTTCGCCTGGCTTTCAGTACCTAGTGTTTTACATTTTTTAACTGCTGCATTACTACATTAGAGTATCACAGGATGCACACAGCAGGATGTTTCTCTGCTGATAACCTTTTAGCATAAGGGTATGTGTCACAATGTTTATTTGTTTTTCTCCCGTTTCTGAAATGTCCACCAGTCTTCAATTTGAGACTGCGTGCTTTACCCACCCACAACAGTGCACTTAATAAGCGGTGTCCTACTTAAATACACCCTTTCAAAACACACACACTGGGAGACAGCCACAAATATCTCCTGGCAGTATCCCGGAAGTAGTGCTGCTGTTTTTTAAAGAGTCTCCAAAGCCGACAGGAGGACAATCTGTGGGATCAAAGAGCATTGGAGGTTGGGCATCTCTGCATCAGATCTGGGAAGTTGACCCTGGGTGAACAGAGGGCTGGTCTTGGCTCACTGTTACCATAGCCAGCAGCCATATCACCCTGCAATTTAAGACTGAAGCTCAGCTGGTGTGAGCCTGGCCAGTACCTGGATGGGAGTCTAAGGTTGGTGCTGGAAGAGGTGTTAGTGGGGCCTGTAAGGGGCCCTCAATCTGCAGTCTGTGTGGGTTCTAATGCCTCAGTGTAGTGATGGGGACACTATACTGTAAAAAGGTGCCGTCCTTCAAATGAGACATAAAGCTCTCCTCCTGACTCTCTGTGGTCATTAAAAATTCCAGGGCGTTTCTTAAAAAAAGAGTAGGGGTGTTGCCCTGGCATCCTGCTCAAATGGGAAATTTCCCATTGGCCTTCACCAATCATGGCCTCCTAATAATCCCCATCCCTGAACTGACTTCATCACTCTGTTCTCCTCCCCACTGATAGCTGAGTTGTGGTGAGTGGACTGGCTCACTATGGCTGTTGTCACATCATCCAGGTGGGGCTGCACATTGGTGGTGGTAGTGGGATTCCCCATTACTTCTAAAGCGCCATATAAGTGTAAGGAATTATTATTATTACGTGTGGCCGGCTAGGGCGTTACATTCCTCGGTTTCACAGAGAGGCGTGAACTTGTCTAAGCAAACGTCCACCGTGTTCTCGAAACCAACGTGCACACTGACAGCCACTGCGCTGCAGAGGCTTCGGGGAAAAGAAGATCTCGGGCTGATCTGAGTTGCAAGACAGGGGGAGGCTACCGAGACAGAAATGGTGCAGTGAAGGCTAACAAACCCTTGCGTCTGAAGTAACAGCAGTTTCTAACTCAGCTCGAATCCTGGTTTGGCAGGCAGGCTTTGGGAGTAGACGTGAGAGTAATTACACTCATTCCCATGCTGTCAATCCAGCATCTCAGATGCCTGTTGATGTCAGTCTCCGTCTCTTCCCAGCCCAGGTTGTCTTTGCATTCCACCCCCAACCCGAGCGATTCGTGAGCATGAAGGGTTTCTGCATCAAGGGTGAACGCTGAGCTCCACACGCTGCACACGAGAGAACACGCTGAGTCGGGGCCGTGCGAGAACAGCTGTCAACCAATGTGAGAGGTGTGAGTCACACTGCGGCCCGAGCAGCTGATTTGTGGTGTTCGAGACGATCGTGCTTTGGTTAAACATAGAATTACAGTGGAAATAAAAAAAATAGAGCAAGGGACCCAAAGCTGTACCTCCGGGTTGAGCCGCAGATCAAACAATGGCACCAGGCACAGGCCCTGACTGACTGGAACTCCCTCCTTCCCTCCAGCAACACGACTGTAATGGTTCAGCTATCACAGGGCCTGCAGCAACACCACCTTACAGCCTCTTCATTGTTCGAGCGTTTTTGTTTTCAGAAGAAACCCACTGTCCTGCACAGGACTCCTGTCACAAACGATCGCTTGAAGCACAGTGCGTTTGCAGTGGTTTTCAAAGAGCGCCAGTTGTTTTTTCTTCAGAAAGCGCACCTCGTCTTCATTCATATGCTGTCTCCTGGTCACATACTGTATGGGGGGGGGGCAGTTTAAATTGGCCTTTTATCACAACCCTGCGATAGATGGGCCAAAGTGAGAGCAGTCACATCTGCTCTCAGTCCTACCTTCAGCGTCATACCTCTGGGCTCGGGTCTGCAGAAACTGTCACAGGGGTAAGTGGTTTCCAGACAATGGCAGGATACATGGATATGAATATGACCTCAGCCAGTAAACGCACTCTTGTGGAGTGGGGGGGTCAAGCCCTATAGTCCAGGTATATCACCATTTCAAGCCTGGGTTCCATTATTGGCCCCCAAGATGCAGCTGAGGGCTAGAGGGTGAAGTCAGGAAAGGATGGTGGAAACAGCAGTGTCCACAACAGCTCCCCCTAGTGCTTTCCAGGCTCCTGCCAGCTGCTGGCAGTAACCGATGCGTCACTTCTCCAGCCCATCCAGGTGCCACCGCAAGGCGCAGTGAGAACCAGCAGGACCAAGGTTCTGGGGCAAAGCACATCCGGTCCCCTTAACAGCAGCTCCCCTGTGCTATGACACTTTTTGCAAAAAAGTCAGGGTGAAGAGCAACAGGCAATTCGAAACGTTCTAAATCCATTCTCTAGCCACTTGATCCAGTGAAGGATTGCGGGGGTCCTGGAGCCTATCCTGGCAAGCTGTGGGTGTAAGTAAGGATAAAGCCCGGACAGGACACCCGTCCATCACAGGGCACACAGACACAGACACTCACACCAGGGCCTATTGTCCCAGTAGCCGATTAGATAACACCCCAGGAACTCAACGTAGGGCCCCAAATCTGCAAGACAGCGATGATAACCAGTGCACGAGAAGAAATGTTCTAAAGCCACATGGTCATCTGTGACGGGAGGAAAACAGATCTAAGGGGTCGGAAGGTTGATTCTTTTATTTAAATGTCTATATCTAAGACGAGAGTTTTCATTAGATTCAGTAATCTGTTTTCTGAAGATACATTTTCAATCAGGTGAAAAATGGTGGTGAAATGGTGTTTAAAAGAGGATCCATTTTAGGCTACTGTAGGGCTAGGGTTAGCAGAACCATTAAATGTTGATTGCTGTTATACTTCTAGTTAAACATTAAATTACACAATTAAAATTATCATAATTGTGATTATTGTGATATCAACCTCTACAATGCACACTTGT